TCCCACCATGTCACCCTGTACTACTCAATAATAGGTTCCCTATCACCTCCAGGATCAAATATAAAATCTTCTCTACCTTTCAAATCCCTTCATAACCTTGTCCCCTCCTACCTTTCCCGTCTCCTTACACCTTACTTTTCACCATGTACTTTTCGATCTAATGACCTCTTTGCACAAACAAGACACCTCGTCTCTTGCCCTGGGCATCTCTTCCTCCTCATCTCCATTTATTGGCTTCCCTGGCTTCCTTTAAGTCCTAACTAAAATCCCAGCTCCCACAGGAAGCCTTCCTCAATCCCTTTTAATTCCAATGCCTTCCCTTTCTTAATTATTTCCTGAATGGAGAATGGATTGGAGTGGGGAGAGTCTTGAGGCAGGCAGATCCACCTGCAGGGTATTTTAGTAATCAAGGCATGAGGTGATGAGGGCCTGTACTAGAGAGGTGGCAGTGTCAGAGGAGAAAAGAAGGAAACCTGGCTCCTTCTTCACTTCAGCCTTTGGGTCTGGCCAACTCCAGCCCCCCCCCTGGAGCTGAGGTAGACATGGCCACTTATACCAACTGGATAATAAGAGACTCATCCACTACAGTCCTTCCAATAAGATGGAGTACCACTGGGCCTTACCATCCCCTCTGCCATGTTCCCTAATGACCACCAAGTCTTATGATCCTCCCTGCCCTACAGCATTGCCCCTGAATATTGCCATCCAACCTGCCTCTATGCCCTTAGAACCCTGGGCTTCAGTGAAGGGCTTTTCTATCTGCCTTGCAACTGAATCTTCCTTTCCATCTTGTTTCTGCCAATTAGGATGGGAACTTGAGAATAGGAACTATCTTGCTTTTCTATTTGTTTTTAAAATGCTTAGCAAAGTCCCAGGCACATAGTAGGCACTTGATAAATGCTTTTCATTCTCCTATTTATTCTGTCCCATTGACTAAATCCTGTTCTTACACATTGGTTGGGTAACCATTTGCCACGTCCTCCTTTCTCTTCCCATATCCTTCCATTTGAAGAAGGGCTTATAAACCACATTTTTGCCCAATGACTTTTTCAGTTTTTACACAGTATTTACACAGGATATTTACTTCAACATCCATACCCACATCCATATATCATTTCATTTCCCAGAGAAGGAGGTAAATGATGGTGAGTATTAAGTCTTGGCAGGTTCTATATCACATCTCCAATATACGTTCCAGTGAGGTGGCCTAGTTATATATGTGTGTGTGTATATACACACATATATATGTATATATAGGATATAAAAGGCAGATATATGAGATGTATATAGGATAGATATGAGATGTATAGGATATGTATGAGATATTTATATTGGAGATATATATGTGTATATATGCATATATATCTCAAAGATACATCAGATATATATGACATAGATATAAGATATAGATATAGATGTATGTATGTATGTATGTATATATACTTGCCAGTGCTTATGAATTCTTGCTACAGGATGGCCCAAAGGACACTCCATTATTAATTTATCTTTTATGGGAAGTATCTAATATCTGTTAGATAGTCTCATTGTTAACAAAGTCTTTTTCTCACCTCCTGTCATGTTTTTCAGTCTGCCACCCTTTCAGTATTGATTTGACACCCCCCCACACATATACCCCCCATGTCCTCAGAATCTTTTTCTTCTGGATGCCTTTTGGGATTTTTTCTTCCATTATATTGATGACATTTTTATCTTAAACCAGAAAACAGGAATATTCCTCAAGTGATTCCACTTTTTAGTTTTTTTTTCATTATTTAGTCTTATAGGGAAACCAGTTTGGATTTGCAGACCATGATGATTAATTGATTTTAGGCAGGAACACAAACATAGCTCATAGCTGTATCTCACTGGACTAATTCTTTTAGTCTAAAGTGAGGAAAACAATCATTCTAATAAAACCAAGCCTCTTCATTCTTTCAATCGCAAATTCTAAATAAAATTTTAATGATATTTTTTCCCATAAATTGAAAAAAAAACTGATTAAATTTTGCTTCTTACATGTAAATAGCTTATAGTCCTAAGAATTTTTGAAACCCAGAGTAAATGTAAATAGCAATTGTTTCTGTTTTGGCCAGAAACCCTGAAAGTCTTCCCCTTCCAGATTGATTTTTTTTGACTAGGTAAAAGAGGCCATTCTTTGCCTCATTTCTTATCTAGCCTTAATCACTGAGTCAAATTGAGACCTGTTAAACACCTTAACTTAAAAAGGCCAAGGTCTCCCACTGCATCCAGGGCCATCTCCAGTCGTCCTGATCTGTATCTCACCACTGGACCCAGATGGTTCCTGAGGAGAAAGTGACACTCGTGACTTTGCACAGCCCTCTCTCTTTTAAATCCAATTCACTTGCAAGTCATGACATCACCTCCCTGATGTCATGGTCCTCTTCAAGAATGAAGGACAAACAACCAGAAGCTGATGTATAGATTTCAAATTTTTTGAGTTTCAGAATTAGCTTCAATTTTACTTTCTATTTTAGTTAGTATTGGTACTGGGAAAAATGTGAAACTTTTGTCACCACAAAAAAGGAAATGCAATGCAATTCATTAAGAAATCCTGTTGAGTTGTTTCAGTCCCTTCCAACTCTTTGTGACACCATTTGGGGTTTTCTTGGCAAAGATGCTGGAGTGGTTGGTCATTTCCTTCTCCAGATCATTTTACAGATGAGGAAACTGAGACAAACTGGGTTAAGTGACTTGCCCAGGGTCTCATAGCTAGTGTCTGAGGCCACATTTGAACTCAGGTCTTCCTGACTCCAGGGCCAAGACTCAGTCCACTTTGCCACCTAGCTGTTCCAAGAAATCTTGACTGTTGCATGTTTGCACTTAAATGATTATTTACACTTACACAACACTTTATAGCTTATAAAGGGCTCTCTGTTTACAACCTTTTGAAGTAGATAAAGGTTTTATTTAGCATAGTCATATTTTCCCTTTATTTTCTATATAAAAGAAAGGTAAAATTCTATTTTGGGGCAGCTAGGTGATATAGTGTATAGAGTACTGAGCCTGGGTTAAAATCCAGCCTCAGACACTGAGTAGCTGTGTGAACCTGGGCAAGTCACTTAACCCTTTCTGCCTCAGTTTCATCATCTGTAAAATGAGCTGGAGAAGGAAATCAGAATTTGCCAAGAAAAGCCCTAAATGGGGTCACGAAGAGTTGGACACAACTGAACAACAACAACAAAATCCTATTTTAATCAATATATCAAATTTGAAAAAGATGGAATTCAAACATCTTTCATCTTAAAATTATCTACCCATCAGGGAGAGTGGAGCAGGCCAAGCTCTACAAACTCATATTCAGATAACTATCACTGGAACTGAGAGTTCAGGGACAGCATTCTTTAGGCCCCTGTTTAAGACTAGATAGATAGTATGTACAGCAATAATAAACTTGTAGGAGAATTAAACAAAGGCCCACAGATTATCAGGCCTTATCTTGCCCATGCTGGAACTGCAAGGACTACTCCCTGGCTGTATCCCACTCTGTCTTGGGATCCTTAACAAGCTCTGTTTCGAACCTGGGCCAATTTGACCCTCTTTAGGCAACCTAGTATCCCCCTGATCTGAGGGTTCACCATATGATTATGATCAGCTTATTACACAGCAGCTCAGAATTGTCAAACTCAAAAGATGCACAGTCTTTCTAATAGCTGGGATTTACAAGACTTCACTGACACTCCTGTCTAGGAACTATACGGCTTTGAGAGGCCATATAAAATTTTGCTGGGCATTTATTTGTTGAGGAAAAGAATTTAGTTTTAGGATCTCATCTAAACAGATAGGATGTCAAAGGATTTTGTTGTAAGGAATACCTCAGTGGTTTCACTGGGGTGGCTACCCTTTCCCTCTATTCACCTACAGATGAAGATAACAATCCTTCCAAACCTTAATATATGGTCTTTGTGAGCAGCTATCGTCTCAAAGATTTGTAATCTTGTGGCCAACCTTCTGGTAATGAATCTCTCTGCACTTAGCACTATGTGCTAAGAGTCACATAGTCTACTTCAAAGCTTGTACCAAAAAAACTAGTAGAATTTAGCAAGTCCCATCAGAGATCTTGTTTTTCTGGCATAACCTTCTAGCTAAGTTCCCCACCCCTGCAATGCTGCATCTAGAAGCAGCTAGATGGCTCAGTGGATACAGCTCTGGGTCTGGAGTCAGGAAGACTTGAGTTCAAATTCAGCCTCAGACATTTATTAGCTGTACGATCCTGGGCAAGTCACTTAATCCTGTTTACTTACCTCAGTTTCATCTGTAAAATGAGCTTGGAGAAAGAAAAGGCAAATTACTCCAGTATCCTTGCCAAGAAAACCCCAAATGGGGACACAAAGATTCAGACATGACTGACTGAAAAATATGTGTGTATACACACATAGTTTTATGTATATATACAACACATCAATTTTATTTTTTCAAATATCAGAGATGTCTTTTTTCTCCCCTCTCACCACTAGAAGCATATTCTATTATCATTAGTCAGTTTTGCTTAGTGGATTGAGGGCTGGGCTTGAAGTTAGGAAGAGCTGCACACATTCTGTTTTTGTTAGACCCTGAGTTACCAGCAAATCTCAAGATTACAAATTATGGATGTTTTCACATTGACAAAATTACATGCCCTTGGTTTATAATAATAATGATAATTATTATCATTACTTGCTGCCATGCCATAGCAAAGAAAGGAATATAAAAAACCTTAATTTAAACCACAAAGCCTTCATTTCAATTTCACATGTGGGTCTTCAAAGTTACCAGAAAGTTCTTTTGACTCTCATTCTTTCCCAGAAAAGAAAATGACGCTCAGTAAACTTAAGTCTTGGCAGCCTCCTTTTCCTCCCATCCTGGTCGCCGATGCCCTCCATTCCCATTCATCCCTGCACACTGAGCCTATCTTCAATTATGCGGCAGGTCTAGGACAGGGACCCCTCCCAATGAAGAACTTCTCTCGGAAATCCACTTCATCCCAAACTCTGTGAACTTGCCTGTCAGGCTGCAGCACCGGTTCGTCCTTCTTTCTCCTTCTCTTTCCTTAAGGAAAGGACATGAGTGGGATGGGTGAAGGTGGAGGAGCCCTCGGGGTCGCAAATCTACCTGTCTCCTCCTCCCTCCTGTCCTGATGCAAGCTAGTGGCCGCCCGGAGACAGCTGCAGCAGTCACTCTGGGCTAGCTCTCCTCGTCTGCGGAAGTTGGGGTTACCGATGACCACACCCCCAGAAAGAGGGACTGATTGTTTAACCCTTGAAATGGGCTGGTCCCCTTTCTAATCCGCTAACGCTTGCAGTCAAGAACAAGACTTTATGCTACAGGGACCGCTCAGGGGCTACTGAAGAAAGTGACTTGCGTTCTTGGCAGAAACTGAGGGTTTTCACCCCATTCAGAGTGATCCGCCCTGCATCAAGCTCACAACAAGGAAAGGCAGAATGCGAAAGGACGTTGGAGATCATTTAGTCCAATATAGGGAAGGGCTGCTAGGTGGGCGCCAGGAAGACTCCTCTTCTTGTGTTCAAATCCCGCCTCAGACACTGACTAGCTGTGTGGCCCCGGGCAAGCTATTTAACCCTATTTGCCTCAGTTTCCTCATCTGTCAAGCGAGCTGGAGAAAGAAATGGCAAACCGCTCCCAGTATCTTTGGCAAGAAAACCCCAAATGGGGTCCCGAAGAGTCGGACACAACTGAACAACAATGGAAGGGGAAAGGCAGAAAAGAAGAGAGGAATTTTTAAAAAGGGACTGTGTGAATTTTTATCCCTAAATCTTAAGTCTTTACCCTGCTTTTCCCACTGTATGTAAAATTTATTCCCTATTTTATCAAGTATGGAAAAATTAAGTTTAGTAATCAACAGAAAAGAGATGAATTTTTAATTCTTTGTGATGACTTAAGGTTTTGGATCCTAAGTCTAGTCGTAAAGCTTATTCTATTATCATTAGTCAGTTTTAAGACTAGATAGTATGTACTATTAAATACAAGGTTATTATGTTTGTTTGCTGCTGTAAATTGTAAAACTCTATTCCACTGAGCTACCTTTCTATTTCTTAGCCAGTACCGGATAGTTCTGACAATTACTGCTTTATAATATAGTTTAAGACATGGTACTGCTAATCCTCCTGCCTTTATACTTTTTATTTCGTTACTTCCTTTGATAGTCTTGACTTTTTATTTTTCCAAATGAATTTTATGTTTTTTTCTAATTCAGTAAAATAATTTTTTTTTTTTGGTAATTTAACTGGGATAGTGTTTGAATGTATAAATTAGCTTGGGTAAAATTGTCATTTTTATTATATTGGCCCTGCCTACCTATGAACAATGGATATCTCCAATTATTTAAATCAGATTTTATTTGCATAAAAAGTTTTTTATAATTTTGTTTATATAGTTCCTGGGTTTGTTTTGGCATTTGTACTCCCAGGTATTTTATACTGTCTAGAGTTTTTTGACTGGTAGCCACGGGGTGTAGGAGGGAAGAGGAAAAATTTACATGTTAATTTTTTTGCATATTTGAAAGGAACAGCAGATTGTGCATAGCAGATTAGCAATTTCATTTACAATCATCTTTTTTATTGTACTATGTTACGACAATGCTTGTTTTATTACAAAATTAAAAATAAAAGGGCTATGTGGAAGGATTTTAGAATTTTTATGTATTTCATAACTTTGCTTAAGGCCAACATTGATTAGATTGCAACTGACAGGTGGGAATGATACATACTTTTGATGAGAGATCCTCAAAATCTTTTTGTTTTCTCTCCTATCTACTGTTAACAGAGGAGGTTTCTTTTTGTGGTGGTGAGTGAGCTGTTCCACTTCTCTTCTGTTAGGGACTGACCTCGTGTAGCTCAAAGGGAGAGGAGGTTCCATTGTTGATCATGTAAAAGAAAAAGTGATTTTTCTGAATGCAGCACTGACTTTATGGAATGTTGGTAAATGAATTTTTAAATTTATGTATTAAAATATTAAATATTAAGATATTTAATATTAAAATATTAAAAAACCAACATGTTTGAACTTTGGAATCCTTAGGTGAGAAACTTCAAATCAGATACTTTAGAATAGTGGTGTGAAATTCAATTCTAAAGTGATCCCTGCAGGCTAAGATTCCTATTGACTTAGAAAACCACAAATTAACATCATCTATGTTTTGTATTTTTAGATCATAGAATTTCAGTGCTATATGGAGCCTTAAAGATAATCTAGCCTTGTGCTGTCACACTCTTATAGAAAAAGGGACCACTAAACCATACATAAGGAACCCCGAGGGTTGCATATTGACTTATAAAACCACATATTAATATTATCTATGTTGTTATATTTTTATTTATTTTATTATGTGTTTTCCAATTACATTTAATCCGGGTGTGGCCACAAGACCAGCAGCTAGTGTTTTTACGCCTCTGATCTAGTCTAACCACTCTTTTACAAAGAAACTGAGATTTATAGAAAAATGACCTTTCTAAAATCATACAGCTAGTAAATAGCAGAGCCAAGATTCACATTTAGGTTTTTTCATTACACTGCACTGCCTCCTTTACAACTAGACTTAGGATCCAAAACCTTAAGTCATCATAATGAATTAAAAATTCATCTCTTTTCTGTTTTTCACTAAACTTAATTTTTTCATACTTGATAAAATAGGGAATAAATTTTACATACAGTGGGAAAAGCAGGTAACTAGGAATCAGTAGATTTGGTCTATAGTCTTGGTTTTGTTACTAATTTGTATGACCTTGAGCAGGTCAAAATCTCTGGGTTTCAGTTTCCTCACACATAAAATGGGGAGTTTGGGCCAGGTGATCTTTGAGCTGCTTCCCAGCATTGAAATGCTATGATTCTATCTTTTAGCATGTAGTCCCTTACCCTGTTGCAAGATAGTAATAGTAATAGTAGTGATTAGTAGTAGTAATAGTAGTAGTAGTAACAGCATCAGCAGCAGCAGTAGTGGTAGTAGTAGTAATGGTGGTGGTAGTAGTAGTAGTAAACATTTATATATTAGGCATGTGCTAAGGGCTTTAAAGACTATCTTATTTGATGGTCTTCTACTGATTCCTCAGGCTTGGCTCACTGGCTCCCACTACTGGTCTTTTGGTTATCATTTTCACTCTAGGTTCCCCTAAATCAGTTTTGCCATATTATACCTTGTCCCATATGTTAACTTGTGCCCAATGTAACATGCCTGAAATATATCAATATAACACGATTACATGTTACACACTACAGGTTTACACATGTTACATTCAAGAGCAGGATTTCAACTTCTCTGCTATCCTGTTTTTTGTAATGAGCAAAAAGTCTTAGATTTTAAAAAGGTTTTCACTACTGTTCATATCATGGAAAACTAAAAGTATCTTAGTTTATTTATGGAGATAATAAATAGCACTTAACTCATAGGGTTGTTGTGAGACTCAAATGAGTTAACATATGTAGTGTGCTTTGCAAACTTTAAAACACCATATAAATGTTATTATTATTAATGGGATTAAAATAACAAATTTTAAGTGTTACTAAGTTATGGAAGTTTTTTTTTTAATTAACCCTAGTTTTTCACACCAATGTAGTAAGAACCAGACTTCTCAGCTTCTTGTTTTCCATCCCCATTTCCTGACAGGTCCCGTACTTTCTAAGCTGGCCTCAAACACTTAATAGCTGTGTGACCTGGACAAGTCATTTAACTTCTGTTTGCCTCATTTTCTCAAATGTAAAATGAGGATAATAATAACAACAGCGCTTACCTTGTGGGGCTGTGGTGAGGATCAAATGAGATATCTGTAAAGTGCTTAGTACAGTATGTGGCACGTGCTGGTGCTGCTGTTTGTCCTTCATTCCTGAAGAAGACCATGATATCAGGGAGGTGATGCCATGATTTGCAAGTGAACTGGATTTAAGTGAAGGAGGGCTGTGCAAAGTCACCAGCCTCATTCTCTCCTCCAGAACAATCTGGAGTATGAGTAGTGAGAGTGGTGAGATATGGATCAGGACAACTGGAGATGGCTCAGAATACAGTGGGAGACCTTGGCCTTCCCCCTCCCCTCCCCCCGAGGCAATTGGGGTTGTGACTTGCCCAGAGTCACACAGTTAGTATTATGTGTCTGAGGTCACACTTGAACTCAGGTCCTCCTGACTTCAGAGCCGGTTCTCTATCCACTGCACCACCTAGTTGCCCCATCCTTAGGCTTTTTAAGTTGAGGTCTTTAACAGGACATAGTAGGCATGATATAAATACTTATTCTTTTCCCTTCCCCACTTCCTTTTCCCTTTCAGTTCCTGTCCTTATGTCAGGCTTGATCAAGATTTATATTTCTTTTCTTTTTTGTTCTTGGAATAAGGCTCTCCTAAATTTCCCTTCACCTTGGAGAAAATGATCATCTTGCTTTGAATGCTATCTCCACCTTATCTGCCTCCCACTTTGGTTAAGAAGGTCCTAAAATCATAGGCTATATTGGTGGAAGGGAACATAGCCATTTAATTTTACCTTCTCATTATATATGCAAGAGTGGGCGGTGTGTGGGCTATACGTACACTTGATAAGTGTGCCAAGTGATACTTAGGATACTGCCCTAAAGCAAGCAATGCATTTCAACTCATATCCTGTTTTAGAAATGTAATATATGATCTATCCACCAGGTGGTGCTAGACTCAAGCTATCAGACATTCATTTCCTCAGTCTCTTTCAGTACATTTCTGTCGATCTCTCTGGGGCACATACATGAACCTTTCCAAAGGTAATAGGATCCCTATTGCCCTCCAGAAGACACTCATCCTGTACACTCTTAAATTACTTCCCTTCCAATCATCCGGAATTCTATACAGTTCCTTAGGACACAATGGATGCTATCTTAGATTCAATAATTATCTAAGGGTATGAAAATGAAATATTACTCCAAATTATTGCAAAATTGTAGGGGAATCTCTATGTAACCCAGGTTTCTAGACAATTCCGGAGCTCTCCTAAATGGAAGAATGCTGACCCTATGCTGGAGGCCTACATGAGAGGCAGAACTGATATGAGAGCTTTGGAGATGAGGCATTTCTTTTTTCTTGAGACACACGTGGTTCTTGGGAAGGAGATAAAAAGGGGTGTGTGTACGCGCTCATGTGTACTTGTGTGCACACTGGACCCCAACCTATCTTTCCAGCCTCAGTGGAGATTACACATTGTCCCAAGCTCTGTAGTGTAGCTAAACTGGAGTTCTCTTTGCGGGCACATGCGTGCGTGTGCACGCGCGCACACACACACACACACACACACACACACACACACACACCCCTCTTTCCTTATCTCCTTCAAAAATCCATCTCCCTGCCGTGGCTAAGTATTCTTCCATACATATTCTTCTCAGATGTCAGTTCTCAGCACTCCCAAGGATTGCTTCTGATTATAGTAGGTAGACGCTCAGGCTGACCCATTGCCAAACCAAGAAGTCTAATTCAAAAGCCTACTGCAAAAAACCTGGGAAGACTCATAGGAACTTATGCAAATTCAAGTGAGCAGAACCAAGAGAACATTGCATGCAATAACAGCAATATTGTAAGGCTAGTCAAGGTGAGACTTGGCTACTCTAAAGGACTCTAGAGGAAAAATGCTATCCATCTACAGAGAACTAATGAACTCTCAATTGAAGCATACTTTTAAACTTCATTTTTCTTGTTGTCTTGGTCTGTTTTCTTTTGCAGCATGGCTAATGTGGAAATGTTTTGTATGACTTCACGTGTGCTATTGATATCAAATTGTTTGCCTTCTCAAGGAGTGGGGGAAGGGCAGAAGAGAATTTGGAACCCAAAATTTAAAAAAAGATTGTTAAAAATTTTTACATGTAATTAGGAAATATCTAATGAGATAAAATATATTTAAAAAAATAAAATACATATACCTGGCCAAAAAAAAAAAGTCTATTGCCTCTTGATGTTTTGGACATGTAAGCTTAAGTCCACCTTCAGTATCTCTAGATGCTCCCAAGGCCCAAATAGAATGTCAAACCTGAAATCCTTCTCCCAAGGGCAGAGCAGGAGGAAATAGGAACCTCTATTTCGCCAATGTCTTACATTTCTTCCTGTTAAGACTTCTGGCCCTCTCTGTACCCTACAGGGCAAAATACCATTGAAGAAACACCTAATACGTTTGTATGAAGAAACAGAAGTTTAGAAAGGGGAAGTGGCTTGCTTAGATCACATGGGTTGTGGCTATAATGCTGGGATTCAAAACTAGGCCCTCTGATTCCAAATTCAGGGCTTTTTCCACAGTGATTCTTCTTAGGCAGTTTCCCCATAGATACCCTATGTTCTTTTAATTATAATGTACCAGTTTATTTTCAGGTAGTCTCCAAAGGGAGAATACATTCCTAGAACAGGACTGCAAATACCCGGTGACAAAATTTTGCCAAAGTACTGGAACTGGTGTGCTGTAGAGTGGGAACATTAACATGTATGAAAAAACCAATTTTACAATGTTGTTTCTCAACACTTAAGCACATTGTTGGAGCTCAATAATTAATTGTCCCTAGCTTCCTATCCCAATCTACTTAGAAATGGCAAAGAAAGGAAAAGATGCCTTAAATCACCAACCGTTTGAAATTAAGGCAGATTTATAACCCACTCATAGTGCTACATGATTCAGGACCACAGAATCCCAGATTTAAAAAGGATCTTGGAGATCATCCAGTCCAAGCTTTCCTCTGTATAACATCCCTGATAAGTTGTCTTCTATCTCTGCTTAAACCTTTCCTGGTCATCCTCATCTCTGGATATATATACCTGCCCTTCAGAGCCTTCAGAGTGGAAGGGACCCAGAGACAGTCTAGTCTCTGCATACACTTGAACACCAATCTCAGCAATAATTCAGACAGCCTGTCTGAAGCCATCAAACAGGAGAATATCCATCCTCTTTTCTCCTTCTAGGATCAGCTTTTACCAATAAGGGTGGGAAGGTAGTAGAAGGCTACCATCCCCCGAGTTCATAGCCTGTAGGCCTTGCTACCTGCTTGTCTTAAGTCAACTAGCATTTGTTAAGCCCTTATAATACGCCAGGACCTAGGTTAATCACTGTGGGTACAAACAAAAAGACAGTCCCTGCCCTCAAAAGTTTACTCTCAGTGACTTTTGGGGCTTTTTGTAATTCGTCTCTATCCTACACTAGAAAAAAATGATCCCTATTATTCCTTAAAATGAATGAGTCCTCTCCTATAACCAGACCAGTGTCCCCTCCAAGCCTTTGTTCACTGTAGTCCCACTTTTTTGAAAAACTGTTCTTGCATTCTCTCCAAATGTAACTTTTTTTTTCCTCTTTGGTGAGGCAATCGAGGTTAAGTGACTTGTCAGGGTCACACAGCTAGTAAATGCCAAGTGTTTGAGGCCAAATTTGAACTCAGGTCCTCCTGACTCCAGGGCTGATGCTCTATCCACTGTGCCACCTAGCTGCCCCAATCTCTCTTCTAAGGTATCAGCTCTTTCACGAACATTCCCCCCAAAATTCTACCCCAAGTGATTTATCTTTTGTTTATCCTATACAGTTTGTATTCTATCCATTCATTTTGATAGTTATATTTGTTCGGTCATGTCTGGCCCTTTGTGACCCCATTTTGTCTCTTGACAAAGATACGAAAATTTCCTTCTCCAGCCCATTTTATAGATGAAGAAACTGAGGCAAACAAGGTTAAGTGACTTGTCTAGGGTCACACAGCTAGTACATGTCTGAAGCCAGATTTGAACTTGGGAAGATGAGTCTTCCTGACTCCAGGCCTGGCACGGCTACCTGCTGTGCCACCTCGCTGCCCCTGATAGTTATGTAATCTCATACTATTATTTCACATATATATTTTATCTCCCATGTGTAGGTTCCATGGAAATCCTCACTGTCCAGCAGAAGAGACTCATACTATAAACTCTTAGATTATGGCATGTGTATGCCATCTCCCAAAGGAGAACCTGGAAGTTCTGAGTGAGCAGTCTTAGTTTCACTGATACAGGGAACTTCTAAATAAGGAAACGTCCTTTACCAATTCAGGTTGTCATTTTAAGAGTTGTTAGAGAGCTGAGAAGCAGTGTGGCAGGCTAGACAGGGACGGTCTGGAGCCCGGGAGAGTTGGGTTTAAGTTCTACTGCAATAGGTCATCTTGGGCAAAGAGTTTAACTTTTCAGTAGCCCAAGCCAGGGGTACCAAACTCAAATAGAAAAGGACTCTAAACTGTACACAAGGATCCCTGCAGGCTGTATATTGACTTAGAAAATCACATATTAACATGATCCATATTCTTCTGTGTTATATTTTATTAAATATCTTTTAATTACATTTTAATCTGGTTTTAGCCATTCTCAGGAGTATTGCTAGACAGGATGCCAGTGACCCAGTGTTTGACACTTTTGCTCTAAGAAACTCTCTAATATTTTTTTATGCTTCACAAAATCAATGAACTTCAGATTTGAAAAGGATCTCACTGGCTACCTAAGTTTAACCTTTACCTGAAAAAGAATCCCCACCTCCCTCAACCAACACACCAACCTTTGCTTGAAGAGAGGGAAAACTAACTACTTGCCAAAGTACCCCTTGTCACTTTTGGACAGCTCTATTAGGATTATTCTTTATATACAGCACATGTTAATATATAACAATATGTTATCACTTATATATTTAAATCTACATGTATATTTTGTTTTATATCTATATGCTTCTACCGTTTTGAAAGGGGACAACTAGCAGACAGGGATAAAAACATTTGTGGATAATAAGGTTGGAAAGCCATACTCCCTGTTATAATGGTCCAGTTTTGAGCCAGTAGTATATCTAACACATCACCTGACATACTGTATGTCCACTTGCCATGGAAAGCAGAATTTTCTGCCATAGACTGACCATAATTCACAAAGACAATCTATTGGCTTGTAAAGGGTTTGTGATCCATGTATGTGGTGGAACACCTACACAATCTTAAGATCAGCTATATCCCTTGAAGTACTTCTCCCCACTGTTACTAAGCAGTGTCTAATTTAATAAAAATCACACAGATAAACAAGACTTTTCAAATGAATAGTGGAACGGGTGGTCCAGAGAAATTATTTCCATTTAAAATTTAAAAATCTTGGTTACAGAATAAATGCAAAAGGAATTTTAGTGATCAACAGAAAATTAGGACTGCAGCAGCATAAATAATGTATAAAATAGCAAGAGGCCTTGGCTTAAAAGCAGCCAAGAGTTTTTGGTTCCAGTTTTTTTTTCTCCAAAATAGATAGTTACTAAGTAAGATGTGGGAAATACTGAAAAATAGACCCAAGGCAGTTTTTAGCCTTATAATGAACAGATACCTACCACAAAGCAGGGCTTAAATTAGGCAAGATCTGAGATCCAGATCCCTTTTAAAATAAACCAACAAGTATTTATTGGAGTCTACTAGGTATAAGGCATTGAGTTGGGCACTATGAAACCCACTTAAGTAACTAAGAGGTGAGATAAAACATACTTCAAGCCACACCCCCCTCAAAAAAAGGCCCAAACCCAAACCTACTCAAACCTAAAAATACATGGCTTACTAAAAGACTGTCAATTGAGTGGTACAAAGATCACTACACTAGGGAGTATGTTAGAGAAGTCTTCAATTGAAGTAATGTTTCAAATGGACTCTCATTTAAATAGGTGAAAAGAGAAGCATATTGTAGGAAAAATGCTGAGCAAAGGTAGAGGTAGGAAAATTCAAAGCTTATTTGGGGACAGTAAGAGACTCAATTCGGCTAGAAATGGACTTCTGAATGGTAGGATAGCAAAAGAAGTTTCAGCTATCAGTGGAGATAAATGCAGATTTGGAGACAATGGCTCCTCCACCAAGGCTTTTGCCAGAGGAAAATAAAATTTAAAAAGGTAAATTAGATCCAGTTTGTAGAGGGTCTTGATTGCCAGGTTAATAAATTTATATTTTATCCTGTGGGGTAGTATGGAGGAAAAAGAGTAAAAGCACAAACAAAATAGTATCCCACTCTTTAAAAAAGTTTATATTCCACAAATTGGCTTCTAATATTAAAGATTACTTTTTTAAGTTTCAAATTATTTGTCAGGAATGAGTGAAGATAGTTTTAAAAAGCTTTTATTTTACATGACACTGGCACAGTCCTTTGGAAACAATATCTGTTTAATTCAGAAGATGTTCCTGCCTGTCCCAAACTAAACAAAAAGGCCACTAAATCATATTCATATATTAATTTGTTTTAATTTTTCCAAAACAATATTCAAAGGATCTGCTTTGTTTCATTTAAACTATAAATGTTAAACATTTACAAACTAAAACAGGCACTGATAATACACAAGGATTTAAACAAACAAATCTTTCAAAGAATAGTTTTTAAAAATTGTTTTTCAGTTCATTGTATTCAAATTTTAATATTGTCAAGCTTTAGGTGACCTTTTTGAATCACATACCACTACCACTCCTTCTTTTAACACAAATGTTTAGATTTTATCAGCAAAACAATATTTTAAGATGTTTACTTCACAAGTTGATATTTTAGCATATAAACTTGTATACTAAATCCCTTTCCATTAACTACTTAAAAAAATATATACAACTATGAATGTTTAAATATGCATCCTATGCCATGTGTCCAAGCAAACATCTGGGAATTTTCAAACTATTAGAGCAAGTTGAAAGGATGAAAGAACTGGCTTCAAATTTTTCTTTATGACTCAACAGACCAAGCATTTTTAATGGGAGGAAGAAAAAACCGTTCAATTAGCATGTGTCTCTATATAGAGAAATGTATATTTTCTAATATACATATACACACACGTCAGGAAAGTGAACAAATATCAAAAATTAACTTATTAGCTCAAATATTTTGTGGACCAAGTCTTGGCTTATAAGTACTTTAAAATTTTGTTGTTCTCCAAATATAATAGAAGGAAAAATGCTGGTTTCATAAAATTTAGTATATTTCAGTATTTTAACTTTCTTAGGGGCACAGATTAAATGATTCTGGTCTTATAACAAACCTGAAATATCTGCTCCATATATATATATATATATATATATATATATATGTGTGTGTGTGTGTGCGCGCGTGCGCGTGTGTGTGTGTGTGTGCGTGTGTGTGTGTGTGTATGTATACTGCCTAATAAAAGATCTGCAGGACAGAACAGAGCAGAGTAGCAATATGAAAAGGACCTATTAAAGTACACCTATGCTTTTGTGTCAATTGCATTAATATCATGCATAGGATATTCACTAAGTTGAAATCAAATCCAAATCAAGTCTAAATATCTGCACCACACTTCTCATGAAAGAAATCTACAACTTCAGATCTTTGTCCAAAGCTTGTTATGTGCAATTCTGTTTTGCCTTGAAAAATCTTAACTTTAAGGATTTAAATCATGCAAGACTCACTTTGCAAATGCTTTTGCTATGTTGTGGTACTTAAAGTTAACCACAACAGCAACTTTTTCCTCTCTTAGAAAAAAAGAAAAACTTGCTGGAAATGTGTTTGTATTAAAAAAGCTCTCAGAATTAAGAACTGACAATTTCTGGTCAGTGATGTTAAGTAATTGACTAGAAATGCTGTTCAATTAGTACTCTTTAGTATCAGATGCCACAGGGATTCAACAATTACATTTCTGATACAGCACTCATTCTCACACAGAGCCACAGGGGAACAAACAACTTTTTTTAACATCAGAAAAATGCTTTAACTATTACTTGTAGAACTTTTGGCTTAGCATTATAGACATAGTAAAATGATCCTATTCTAGGACAGAACAAACTTAGAGTTTTGATTTACACAAAATAAGGATATTTTCCTGTTTCAAAGAAAAAAATGCCCTTGGTAGCTCAATAAAAGTATGTAATACAGCATCTATTAAAGTTGAAACCAATGCAAACCACTTACTGGGATGAAAAAATAACACATAAAACACTTTGAACCTTTTCTGTCACTGTTTCACGACCAATAATCAAATATAAACAACTGTGGCTCCAAGTTCTAAGTTCAAGGGGAAAAAAGTATAATTGCCTAACACTGACTAAATGTACAGCATTGTGTAATGCTAACAATGAAAACGTCAAATTAGATTTTAAATAGCTCAAAGAATTACAATAACTTGATATCTAAAATCAAGGTAGCCACAGATGGAGAAAGCCAGTCATTACAAAGGCAAAAGAATATGCTAATATGGAAATTGTGATGTTTGTGGCAGTAATCAAAAATTCTAACTATAGCTCTAAAAACTCTCAGTGTCTTCAATCAAAATCTCTAAGGTTTCAATTCTACAATTACTGAAACACTCACTGCCTTTATAGTTTCATAAACTATAGAATGAGTATAAAACCTGGTACTTTACAGGTAATTGAAGAATAACAATTTGTACCATGATATGTCAACTCAAAACTGAACCAAAATTATGTAACTATGGCAGACTTTTTAATAACAAATCAAAAGTGCAGTACAGGGCTTAGCCTACAGTTCATCACACTGGTTTAAAAAACAAAAATTCATGCCTAAACTATTAAAAGGGCTATTTTCTTCCTCCATAACTTATCTTTAAAGCAACCTAAGGAATTAAAACATCAGTTCCCTATGACAGAAGTAGTCTTACTGATTAAAAAGAATCAACATGACAAAGTTAAGAGTGAATACAAACAACTGTGGAAAGGGTAGAACATTTGTGTTGGATATTTAACATGAAAAGCCTCGAACAAGTTTTGAAGTTTTTCAACTTTTTCAAAAAAAAAGGTGTCCTTTCCCATGGTTAGGGATATATGTTGCATTTTCCCCACAACAAACGTAAGGGAGTAAAGAGGCTTTTAAAATATTGCCAATATTAAGTTCTTCGGTACCTACTATTAATTGGAAAACAGCAACATTACAGATGTAGAGTGGATCAATTCTCAAAACACTAGTTATGATCCAACACGAGTTGTAGTGGTTCTTTTATCGGAGAAAAAACTTTTCAGAAGAAATACCTGCCCTATGCTAACAACAAGAAGAATGATGGCTTCTCCAATTGACCAATAGGCCACTCTTGTATTTAGATCCTCTGCCCGGCTGCGTCCTTGAGCTTCTCTTAGTCGGAAATGAGTCTGGTAGTCGATGACAGACTTCAAAGCTTCGTGAATTGAAACACAAGCAGATTCCATCTAGGTAGAAACATTTTGAGTTAGCCTTGCTAATAGTTTACTTTCCTATACATTTCTTTTTAGGAGGAAAATTTTTTTTCCCCACTTATCCTAAAAATGATGATCTTTGTATCATTTTTAGTAAATTCTATTCTTGCCAAAGAAAGGATATCTTACTGAATATCCTGGGAGAGGCACTGTAATGTAGTTTGAAATCAAGAAGTATTAAATATCATTTCTGACACCAGTATGTGACCAAAGGGAGATTATCTGTCCTAAGTTTCAATTTCTTTATCTGTAAAATGGGAATATGTATAGTAACTATCTCTCAAGGTTCTTATGGAGACCAAACAAAACGTTAATCACTCCAAAAAGTTTAAAGTTCTATATAAAAACCCCCAGTTATTACTGTATGCTGAGACATTTAATTTTTAAGTTAAACACAAAAGTTTCCCCAAATTATAGACAACTACTTTCTTCCCCTGGAGCCAACACCACTTGTTCATCCTTGGTTTCTGAAGAAGACCAATGATATTATGGGAGCGATGTTTTGACTTTCATGTGAGCTGAATTTAAGTGAAGCAAAGCTGAAAACCTTCCAGGTTCCTGCTTTGTTCCTACTAGGACTGATGTTTCTAGACTCCAAAGTGATAATGAGCTCTGGCAGCAATAGACACACCACGTGGGCTATGTAGGTAAGGTGTAGAACTGTTAACTACTGACTCTAGCTTCAGTGCTGCACCCCTTATGAAGTAGGGGGTTGCAGCACACTACCTACTGGGGCTTCAAGATGGGAGAGGAAACATGGGAGCATCAGTCTGGGAGGACATTAAGCTAGAGAGAGTAAAACTGAAAGCCTATTTTTATGGGGAAAACTTGGGAGTAACATACTCTGGCTCAACTTCAGCAATGCATGCTCAGAGAGAACAAGCAAATACCTTACTGAATTCTTTGTTGTTTATTTAAACATGATAAAAATGATACATGTTAATTTTGGAAGATGAAGGTACTAGATACAATGAATTTTATTTCATAGTAAATCTGCTAATTTTTTCTCTTCTCATGATTGTTGATCAAACCAAATGCCCTTTTTCTTGATAGGGTATAACTAACTTCACTGTATTTACCCCTAAGTTTGAAATGGTTGTTCTATTTCATTTAAAGAGAAATCAGAATCCTTAAGTTTTAGATTATTTCATATTTTGAAGTATGAAATATGAATTTACAATGCATATTACCAGTGATTAACATTTCCCACCGTTTAAAAGTTTAGTAGTGGTTGAGTACAAAAATCTGTGTTACAATTCTATTTTTCTATTATATATCTTGCATTAGGGAACTTTAATAAGTATATATGTGTGGAAACTAAGTACTAAGAGAACTGGGCTTGGTTTTTTCTTAATAATTTCATCAGTAGATGCTGGGTAAGAAATAATGAGTATGAAAATCATATAGCAAAGCAATGCAAGAGAATTATATAAAAATACTAAAATATAGAAATTAAATAAGAACATTTTTAAAAGAATACGGTTAGAGAAGGTTATGCAAGCCATAGATTTTATTTATTTGAAAAGTTTTACTGATGCTTTTCTTTTTTTAATCAATTAATTTATTTTTAGTTTTCAACATTCATTTCCACAAGATTCTGAGTTCCAAATTTTCTCCCCATCTCTGCCCTCCCCCCGTCCCAAGACGGCATGCATTCTGAATACCCCTTCCCCTGATCTACCCTCCCTTCTATCACCCCCCCTTCTCCTTCTATTTTCCTGTATGGCAAGACAGATTTCTATATCCCATTGCCTGTATATCTCATTTCCCAGTTGCATGTAAAAAGCCACAGATTTTAAATACACACCCATCACTTTCATGCCTGGAATGCACTCCCTCTTTACTTCTAGTGACAAGCACTTGTTAGTTTCCCTCAAAATTCAAACCAAATGCCATAATCTACATGAGGTTTTTCCTGATTCCCCTACCTACTACTGCTTTCAAATTACCTTTTATTCTGTATATACTTATTTGTGCACAAGCTATTTCCTGATACAATAGAAGTTCCTTGAGGGCAAGGACGATTTCCATTTTTTTTAAAATGTGTCCCAAGCACCTAATGCATAATAGGCAGTTAATAAATACTTACTCATTATACATCCATTTTAATAGAAGTAATGTGGAATAATGGAATAGCTACACTTGAAGTTAAGAAGACCTGGGTTCAAACCTGGGTTCAAACCTTGCCTCCGACACTAACTGTGAGACCCCAGCAAGTCACTTGGTCTCTACGAACCTATCTATTATGTCACATGTGGGTTTTGATGTGTTGGTGGAGGAAATTCCTGAAGCTGAGGAAATCACAGATCTTTTATTTATAACTGCATTGATATAAGTAGAAGGTGAATTTGAATCAGCTCAATCAAGCAGCAGTTTTGGACAGTAAATAAAATGAACTTTTAGCAATAGTAGGCTCATTTAATTTTTAAAAACTTCTGTACTTATCAACTTGGTAACACATCTATTTATATGCCAAACCTTGCATTAGGCAGAATGCGTTAAGAATTGGGTATTATATATGTTTTTAAAAATTTCAAATATTTTTTTTCAATTACATGTAAAAATAATTCTTAACATTCTAAAAAAATTTAAGTTCCAAATTCTCTCCATTCCTTCCCTCTCCTCCCAACGAGAAGGCAAGCAATTTGATAAAGGTTATACATGTGTAGTCACGCAAAACATAGTTCCATATGAGTTATTTTGTGAAAGAAAACGCTAACAAAAAACCCCCAAGAAAAATAAAGAAAGTTAAAAAAAGTATTCTTCTATCTGCATTCAGACTCTTTCTCTGGAGGTGGATAGCTTTTTCATCATAAGACCTTAAGAATTTTTTTAATATTTCTAAAGACTGGCTCATAAAACGTATTATAAACACCTCTCCTCTTCACTGGGAATTTACAAAGGAGGAAGTGATGTTAAAATGAAAACCCTTCAACTATACTAAAGCTTCTTTCCTCTGATATTTACTTCCCTATCCTGAAAGAGAACAGTGAAACTGGGGTGGAAATATCATATCTCTATTTTCATAATATTTCACCATATACTTTCTTTCCTAGTCTTTCCAACCCTTCTTCATGAGGTTCTGTTTCAGATCCTTTAATGATTTTAACTCCTCAATATTTTGATTACATTACAGAGCACAGTAAGTAAAGATGGTTTTAGAGAAACCAAGAAGACCTTTATGAACTGATACAGAATGAAGTGAGCAGAACCAGAACAATTTATACTCTTTTTTTAGATAGGGTCAAGGTGGAAATTTGTTTTACTTGACTTTACATCTATTACTACTGTTTTCTTTTTCTTTTCCCAATGGAAAGGTGGGAGGGGAGATGGGAGAGAGAGAGAGAGAAAAGACATGACTGTTAATTAAAAAAAAATTTTTTTTTAATCACAAGGCATAGTATTATGATAGCAGTCTGATTAATATTAAGTAGAATATAAAGATTATCTTTTATCTCCTATAGGTTATATTTGTACATTATCATTTCTGCCTTGCCTCAGGCCACCAAAGTGGTAGGTTCAGCAATTTTTTTTTTATCAAATACACCCCCCCAACCCCAAATTCTGGGGGAGTGGGGGTGGGGTGGGTTTTTATTGTGCACTGCTATTGTTTCTTCTTAATGTCTTTTTAAGACAAAAGTATTAATGCACAGTATTATTATTATCATACTGATGACCTATATTTGCTTTTACCTGTGTAAGAGCACTGACTCTGTTCTCACTGGGGAACAATGGTGGATCTTCTCCAACTTGAAAGTCAAAGTACACAGTTTTGTGTGTGAAAGTAGAGAACTCATTGCTGAAACAAAATTTGTATGTTCCATTTCTGGATGCAGTGAAGGTAAAACTATCATACTGTTTCTTCATTTCTTTGTATAACACCACACCATCAGGATCTTCCAACCGGCAATCTACATCATAATGACCACCAGTAATCACCTGTAGAAAGAAAAACACTGAAAAGTTTGGGGGTAAAACAAAAATTAAAGACATAAACCAATTTTCCTGTTATCATGCTACAAGGAAAGTGCCAGAATCATTTAATATGGCAGACAATACCATATTTTAGTATTTCTATTAATGGGCCTTTACCAAGAAGCAAATTTTGATTCAAAAATAAAAAAGGACAAGTATAGTTGTCCAATAATGAAATGAGTTCTTTCATGAGGTAAGTTTCCCACAACTGGAGGTATTCAAAAGGAAGCCAGATGACTGTTTTTTGTGCTATTGAAAGGACTCCTGTACTCGTGAGAAGCTAGACCCAATGACCTCTAATGTTACCTTTCCAACTAACTTGAAGACTACAATTTTGGCTAAGAGGAATAAATGCAGAGGAATAACATGAGAAAAGGTCACAAAAGTAAAATGGTACCATATAGTAGAGGGCTTTGAATGCTAGTCAAAGGAGTCTGAAATTTACCTCATTGGCAATAGAAAGCCACTAGATGAGTTTTCACCTCAAGAATTATATGACTAGCTCTACAGATATGGAAGATTATTAATCTTGTATCATTGATTATGCTCAGCCCAGCCTCAGCCTTGGATCACTCCCACCATTCATCATCTTTGATCCTACACATGCACTGCTAAGGGGGATAAAAATCCTGAAATCCTGACTGGGTCCATTACAAATTTATGTTATTCAACCTTAAATGGGCCCTCACTGCTGCTAGGCAGTCCTTCTATACCTCCCTATATCAACTCACAATCCCACTCTCCACAACAAGTCTTCTAAACTTTTTTATCTTTCCTTAAGTCTTCAATGGCTCCCTTCTTCCCCCCATTCCGGTTGAAAATTATGCCTCACATTTGATAGAAATAATTGAGATCATTCGCCAACTCCCCTTTCTCTCTTCTTCATCTCTTATCATTCAGATGCCTTCTGCCACTCCCTCTTCATTCCTGTCTCACATGATGAAGTGGCCTTATTCCTTATTGAGGCCAATCTCTTTATTTGTTCAAGAGATCTCATTCCAATCCCATCTCCTTCAACAGACTGCTCTTGTCATCCCCAATTTTTCACTAATTTTCAATCTCTCCCTTTCTATGGCTCATTTCCTACTGCCTATAAATGTGCCCATGTCTCCTCTATCCTGAAAAACACTTCACTTGATTCCTCCATTCCTGCTACCTATCATCCCTATCTTTTCTGCCCTTTGTGGCTAAACTAGAAAAGGCCATCTACAATAGAGGTCTTCATTTTCTCGCCTCTCACTCTCTTCTTAGCCTCTTACAATCTGGCTTCCACTCTCCAAAGTTACTAATGATCTCTTGGTTAGCCAATCCATCGGCTTGGTATCTTGTTCTCCTCAACCTCTCAGCAGCCTCGGACACTGCTGATCACTCTCTCTATCTTGATACTCTTTTCTCTCCAGGTTTTCTTCTTGTCCTTCTACTTATTGGACTGCTCCTGCTCTTTCTCCTCTTCCAGAGCATGTCCTTTAACTGTTGGCATCCTTGTCCCTCTCCTTTTCTCCCTCTATCTACACTACTTTACTTGGTGATCTCCTCAGCTCTCATGGATTTAATTACCATCTCTATGCTGATGATTTTCAAATCTACCTTTCCTGCCCTAATCTCTCTGCTGACCTCCAATGTCCCATCTCCAACTGCCTTTCAGAAATCTTTTTTTGTACTTAGTAGTATTTTATTTTTCTTTCAATTACATGTAAAGATAGTTTTCAAAATTCATTTTTTGTAAGATTTTGAGTTCCAAATTTTTCTTCCTTCCCCCTCCCAAGACAGCAAGCAATTTGATACAGGTTATACATGTATAATCATGTTAAATATATTTCCATATTAGTTATGTTGTGAAAAAATCTAACAAAAGGGAAAAACCACGAGAAAAAAAAAACAAACAAAAACCAAAGTGAAAATAGTATGCTTCCATCTGCATACAGATTCTGTAATTCTTTCTCTGGATAAGGACAGCATTTCCCATCATGAGTCTTTTGGAATTGTCTTGGATTATTGTATTGCTGAGAAGAGCTAAGTCTACCAAAGTTGGTCATCACACACTGTTGCTATTACTGTGAATGATGTTCTCCTGGTTCTGCTTACTTTGCTCAGCATCAGTTTATGTAAGTCTTTCCAAGTTTTTCTAAAATCCGCTTGCTCATCATTTCTTACAGGACAGTAGTATTCCATTATACTCATATACCACAACTTATTGAGCCATTCCCCAACTGATGGGCATCCCCTCAACTTCCAATTCTTGGCTACCACAAAAAGAACTGCTATAAATATTTTTATACACGTGAGTCCTTTTCCCATTTTTATGATCTCTTTGGGATACAGATCTAGAAGCGGTATTGCTGGGTCAAAGGGTATGCACAGTTTTATAGCCCTTTGGGCATAGTTCCAAATTGCTCTCCAAAATGGTTAGATCAGTTCACAACTCCCAGACTCCCAAATATTTTATATTATCAACATTATATTATCTATTTTAAATGGAATTTCTCTTTCTAACTCTTGCTGCTGGGCTTTGTTGGTAATATACAGAAATGCTGATGCTTTACGTGGATTTATTTTTTATCCTACAACTTTGCTAAAGTCAATTGTTTCAAGTAGTTTTTTAGTGGATTCTCTAAATATACCATCATATCATCTGCAAAGAGTGATAGTTTTGTTTCTTCACTGCCTATTTTAATTCCTTCAATTTCTTTTTCTTCTTTTATTGCTAAAGCTAACATTTCTAGTACAATATTGAATAAGAGTGGTGATAATAGGCACCCTTGCTTTACCCTTGATCTTACTGGGAATGCTTCCAGTATTTCCCATTACAGATAATACTTGCAGATGATTTTAGACAGATACTGCTTATCATTTAAGGAAAACTCCATTCATCTCTATGCTCTCTAGTGTTTGTAATAAAAATGGGCACTGTATTTTGTCAAAAGCTTTTTCATCTACTGAAATAATTACGATTTCTGTTGGTTTTGTTATTGATACAGTCAATTATGTTGAGTTCTCCTAATATTGAACCAGTCCTGCATTCCTGGTATAAATCTCACCTGGTTACAGTGTATTAACCTGGTAATAAATTGCAGTAAACTCTTTGCTAATATTTTGTTTAAAAATTTTTGTGTCAATATTCATTAGGGAAATTGGTTTACAATTTTCTTTTTCTCTTTTGGCTCTTCCCGATTTAGGTATCAGCACCATATCTGTGTCATAAAAGGAACCTGGTAGGACTCTTTCTTTGTCTATTTTTCCAAATAGTTTATGTAGTATTGGAATTAATTGTTCTTTAAATGTTTAGAAGAATTCACTTGTAAATCCATCTGACCCTGGAGATTTTTTCTTAGGGAGTTCATTGATGGCTTGGTTCAATTTCTTCTTCTAAAATGGGGTTAAGTTTTTTACTTCCTCTTCTGTTAATCTGGGTACTTTATATTTTTTGTAAATATTCATCCATTTCACTTAGATTGTCAGATTTATTGGCACACAGTTCACAAAATAGCTTCTAATTACCGCTTTAATTTCCTTTTCATTGTTGGTGAAGTCATCCCTTTAATTTTTGATACTCTCACTAAAAAATAATAATAATAATAATAATAATAATAATAATAATAATAATAATAATAATAATAGGGACAGCTAGATGGTGCAATGGATAGAGCACCGGCTCTGGAGTCAGGAAGACCTGAGTTCAAATCCGGCATCAGACACATAATACTTCCTAGCTGTGTGACTCTGGGCAAGTCACTTAACCCCAATTGCCTCACCAAAAAAAAAATTGATACTGGTAATTTGATTTTCTTTTTTTTAAAAAATCAAATTAACCAAAGGTTTATCTATTTTATTGTTCCCCCCCCATAAAACCAGCTTAGTTTATTAGTTTAATAATTTTCTAACTCCCAATTTTATTAATCACCTTTGATTTTCAGAATTTCTAATCTGGTATTTAACTGGGGATTTTTAATTTGTTCCTTTTCTAGCTTTTTTTAGTTGCATGCTCAATTCACTGATCTCCTTTTTCTCTATTTTATTCACATAAGCATTTAAACATAAAATTTCCCCTAAGAACTGTGTGGGCTATATTGCATAAATTTTAGTATGCTGTCTCATTATTGTCATTCTCTTTGATGAAATTATTGACTTTCTGATTTGTTTTATCTACTCATTCTTTAGGATTAGATTATTTAGCTTCCAATTAGTTTTTAGCCCATCTTTCCATGGCCCTTTATTACACCTAATTTTTATTTCATCAAGATCTGAAAAGGAAACATTTAATATTTCTGCCTTTCTGCATTTGATTGTAAGTTTTTATGCCCCAATACATGATCAATTTTGGTGTAGGTACCATGTACTGCTGGGAAAAAGGTATATTCCTTTCTATCTCCATTCAATTTTCTCCAGAGGTCTAGCATATCTAACTTTTCTAAAATTCTATTCACCTCCTTAACTTCTTTCTTATTTTGTTTAGATTTATCTAGTTCTGAGAGAGGGAGGCTGAGGACACCAACTAGTATAGTTTTGCTGTCTATTTCTTCCTGTAACTTACCTGGCTTCTCCTCTAAGAATCTGGATGCTGTACCACTTGGTGCATATTTGCTCATGGTCTATGGTACCTTCTAGCAAGACAGAGTTTTCTTATCTCTTTTAATTAGATCTATTTTTGCTTTTACTTTATCTGAGATGAGGACTGCTACCCCTCGCTTTTGGTTTACTTTAGCTGAAGAGTAATATATTTTGCTCCAACCTTTCACCTTTACTCTGGTGTATCTCTCAGCTTCAAATCTGCTTGTGTTTTATGGGAGAGTTCATTCCATTCACATTCACAGTTACATTTACTGTGTATTTCTGTCCATTCTATTTTTTCCACATTTATACTTTTCTTTCTCTTTTCACCCTGTCCCTCCTCACCAGTGTTCTGCCTCTGAACAACTCTCTCAATCTGCCCTCTCTTCTATTAGCCCCCCTCCCTTTTCTTTTCC